GATTTCTTTTATCACAGTTGAAATGTGATTGTGCTGCTGATGTGACAAGACGACTAGTGCTCCCCCTACTGTCTGGATAGGAGGCTACAATATATGCAATATTCTAGATTTACTGGACTATAAAAAAAAAACAATTTATATTTTTTAATTCATTTTTTGTAATCCTGGCCATAATAAACTGGACAATAATAAATATGAACACACATGTAGAAAACCACTACACATTCCTTTTAAAGCACAGCGCCTTCTAAAACACTTGTTTTAGCTTTGAGTAACAAGAACTAGAACCTTTGTCAGTAAGGTGAAGGATATAGGGATTAATGAAAGATTGTTTACTGTGAAGTGAAGGAGAAAAGGTGGACCAATAAGGGAGATGGAACATCCCATGTAAGGGCCATTCTTCCTAATGTCCATCATCATATGGGGCCCTCTTCCATTGACCACCAATGTAACAGGTTCCTCTTCCACTGACCACCAATGTAACGGGCTCCTCCTCCACTGACCACCAATGTAACGGGCCCCTCCTCCACTGATCACCAATGTAACAGGTTCTTCCTCCACTGACCATCAATGTAACGGGTCCCTCCTCCACTGACCACCATTGTAACTGGTCCCTCCTCCACTGACCACCAATGTAACGGGTCCCTCCTCCACTGACCACCAATTTAACGGGTCCCTCCTCCACTGACCACCAATGTAACGGGGTTCCTCCTCTACTGACCACCAGTGTAACAGACCCCTCCTCCACTGACCACAATGTAATGGGCCCCTCCTCCACTGACCACAGTGTAACGGGGTTCCTCCTCTACTGACCACAAATGTAAAGGGCCCCTCCTCCACTGACCACAATGTAATGGGCCCCTCCTCCACTGACCACAATGTAACGGGGTTCCTCCTCTACTGACCACCGATGTAACGGGCCCCTCCTCCATTGACCACAATGTAATAGGCCCCTCCTCTACTGACCACAATGTAACGGGGTTCCTCCTCTACTGACCACCAATGTAACGGGCCCCTCCTCCACTGACCACCAATGTAACGGGCCCCTCCTCCACTGACCACAATGTAACGGGCCCCTCCTCCACTGACCACAATGTAACGGGGTTCCTCCTCTACTGACCACCAATGTAACGGGCCCCTCCTTCACTGACCACCAATGAAACGGGCCCCTCCTCCACTGACCACCAATGAAACGGGCCCCTCCTCCACTGAACACCAATGTAATGAGTCTCTCCTCCACTGGACCACCAATGTAACAGGCCTCTCCTCCACTTACCACCAATGTAACAGGCCTCTCCTCCACTGACCACCAATGTAACAGGCCTCTCCTCCACTGACCACCAATGTAACGGGCCTCTCCTCCACTGACCACCAATGTAACGGGCCTCTCCTCCACTGACCACCAATGTAACGGGCCTCTCCTCCACTGACCACCAATGTAACAGGCCTCTCCTCCACTGACCACCAACGTAACGGGCCTCTCCTCCACTGACCACCAACGTAACGGGCCTCTCCTCCACTGACCACCAATGTAAGATGACCCTTCTCCATGGACCATCAGTGTAACAAGGCCCTTCTCCACTGACCGACAATGTAAGGGGGCCCTTCTCCACTGACCAACAATGCAACAGGGCCCTTCTCCACCGACCAACAATATAAGAAGACCCTTCTTTAATGACCACCAATGTAACGGGGTCCTTCTCCATTGACCACCAATATAACGGAGCCTTTCTTCATTGACTGCCAGTGTAACTGGGTCCTTCTCCACTGACCAACAATGTAATGGGATCCTCCTCCAATGACCACCATGAAAATGGGGCCCTCCTTCATTGACCACCAAACTAATTTGGTCCCTACTCCACTGACTACCAAGGTAATGGGACCCTCCTCCACTGGTCACCAATGTAAATTGAACAAACTCTTTCACCACTCACCATCCAACGTACATATATAGACACATCCTGGACAGCTGGTGGTTATGCCAGGATCATGGCTGCAGCCATGACCCTGGCACCCTTTTTTTTTTTAGTGCTGCAATCAGCTTTCATGTAAAAGTGAGCCTCCCCACTCCTGCCCACCACCATTCTTGGGCTCTACCAGGCAAGCGGTTGGGGGGGCTGACCAAACAGGAGATGGAGGAACATCCACTCCCCCATCTCCTCTGTGACCAAATGAAGCTAGAAGCAACAAGGGTTTTGTCATTTCTGATTTTAGAGCCGTCATTACCTGGCAGGGAAACATCTGATCAAACAGATCTGTATTTGATCAGATGATTTGGAGGGCAGGGGCAAAACCGGGTGTCCCAATGTCTCTATAAAGTGTACCTGTCACCTGCCAAAAGCAGGAGCTTGTACACCCTTTGTGATAGCAATGAAGTTAAATTAAATGTACAAAAAAAAAAAAAAAAAAAAAAAAAAGTGTCAAAAAAATGAAACACGCAAAAATATTACAAAAAATTAACCCCACTCCCCCCCTCCTGTGGTGACACACACATAGATCTGGCACACATATGTAAATGCTGTTTGCACCACACATGAGGTATTTCTGCGGACATCAGAGTGAGAGCAGTCATTCTAGCGCCATCATTTATGATTAAAGTGAATCTAAAGGTTGTAATTTTTTTTTTTTTTTTTTTAAACAAAAACATGTTATACTTACCTGCTCTGTGCAATGGTTGTGCACAGAGCAGCCCCAATACTCTTCTTTTTGAGTCCCCCACCAGCGGTCCTGGCTCCTCCCCCTTCCGATTGCCCCCAATAGCCCACAGAGCGTGGCTCAGCCCCTCCCCTGCTCTCTCCTCATTGGCTCACTGGCTGTGATTGACAGAAGGAGCCAGTGGGTCCAGCTGCTGACTCAGTCAATGAGAGAGACCCGGGAGAGCCGCTGCTCTCATGCGCATTGCTGAATAAAGAAGAAAGCTCAGGTAAGTATTTAAGAGGGGGCTGAGGTAGAGGGAGATGCACCTAGCAGGTTTTTTTTTACCTTCATGCATTGAATGCATGAAGGTGATAAGAAAAAAAAACCTTCTGCCTTTAGAACCACTTTAACTCTGAATTGAAAACCTGTAAAGGATCTTAAAAGCTTTCCCTATGGAGAATTTTAGGTATCGTAGTTAGTCGCCATTTCACAGGCATGCGCAATTTTATATCTTGACATGTTTGGTATTTATTTACTCGATGCAACATCATCTTTTATATATTCCAAAAAATTGGGTATTATATTGTGCTTGTGTGCACTAAAATGCATTTAATCCCCCATATTATTCTCTAGGGCCTCTGCCTTCAGAATATACAGTAATTTTGCTAGCAAAAAATGGAGATTTAACATGGAGATTTTAACATGAACATGACATCTTCCCTTATTCGTCCACAGACAGGACATCCCCCTGTTCTGTGGAATAATAATCAGCTATAGGTAATATGTCCCCGTGCTGAGGGTCGGTGATTGGCGACATGTCCCCGTACTGGGGGTCGGTGATTGGCGACATGTCCCCGTACTGGGGGTCGGTTATCGGTGCTGGGCTCTAGGTCCCTGTACTGGGGGTCAGTGATCGGCAGCAGGTGCCCGTACTAGGGGTTGGTGATCAGCGGCAGGCAGTAGGTACCCGTATTGGGGGTTGGTGATCAGTGGCAGGTGCCTGTACGGGAGGGGGGTCGGTGATCAGCGGCGGGCGCTAGATCCCCGTATTGGGGGTCGGTGATTGGCGGCAGGTGCTAAGTCCCCGTATTGGAGTCGGTGATTGGCAGCAGGCGCTAGGTCCCCGTATTGGGGTTGGTGATTGGCAGCAGGCGCTAGGTCCCCGTATTGGGGTCGGTGATCGGCGGAGGGCGCGCTAGGTCCCCATACTGTGGGGTCGGTGATGATCAGTGGCAGGTGCTAGGTCCCCGTATTGGGGGTTGGTGATCGGCGGCGGGCACTAGGTCCCCATACTACTTCGGTGATCGGCGGCGGGCGCTAGGTCCCCGTATTGGCGGTCGGTGATCGGCGGCGGGCGCTAGGTCCCCGCACTGGGGGTCGGTGATCGGCGGCAGGCGCTAGGGGGTCCCCGTACTGGGGTCGGTGATCGGCGGCAGGCGCTAGGTCCCCGTATTGGGGGTCGGTGATCGGCGGCAGGCGCTAGGTCCCCATACTGGGGGTCGGTGATCTGCGGCGGGCGCTAGGTCCCCGTACTGGGGGTCAGTGATCGGCGGCGGGCGCTAGGGCCCCGTACTGGGGTCGGTGATCAGCGGTGGGCGCTAGGTCCCCGTATTGGAGGTCGGTGATCGGGCAGGCGCTAGGTCCCGTATTGGGGGTCGGTGATCGGCGGCAGGCGCTAGGTCCCCGTATTGGGGGGTGATCGGTGATCGGCGGCAGGCGCTAGGTCCCCGTATTGGGGGTCGGTGATCCGCGGCAGGCGCTAGGTCCCCGTATTGGGGGTCGGTGATCGGCGGTGGGCGCTAGATGCCCGTACTGGGGGGGGGGGGGGGGTCGGTGATCGGCGGCAGGCGCTAGGTCCCCGTATTGGGGTCTGTGATCGGCGGCGGACGCTAGATCCCCATACTGGGGGGGGGGGGGGGGGTCGGTGATCTGCGGCAGGCGCTGGGGCCCTGTATTGGTGGTCGGTGATCGGTGACGGGCACTAGGTCCCCATACTGGGGGGTCGGTGATGATCGGCGGCGGGCGCTAGGTCCCCGTATTGGGGTTGGTGATCGGCGGCAGGCGCTGGATCCCCATACTGGGGGGTCGGTGATCGGCGGCGAGCGCTGGGTCCTTGTACTGGCGGTTGGTGATCGGCAAAGGGTGCTAGGTCCCTGTACTGGGGGGGTCGGTGATCAACCACAGGCATCTGCTCTCCAAACAATCACATGATGCAACTTGTAGGCTGAGTGAAGTTGTGTAGTAGAAGCCGAGGCAGGCTGTGTGTAGAGAGAAGCCACGCTCACACCCCGCACACACATGTGACACACTCACGGAGCCCCGGAAATCAGGCTGGGGCCCCTGCCCTATAGGGCCACACATACCCAGTCTGCAGCCAGCCGCAGCTCCCAGGAAGGACAGTGCGCACCACAACCTCCTTCTGCACCCAAACAGCATCATCCTGAGGGGGCCGGCTGCACGCCGCAGCGGGGGAGGGCTCTGCACTGACAGCCCTCTGTACCTGCTGACAGCCAGCCAATCAGCACTCACCGCTGGATTCCGCCAACCAGAGAACGCTGCCAACCGAGGGACGTCAGGGGCGAACCCTAGAACATTAACCAATCACCAGGCAGCTCCGATAATCAGCTCCTGCAATGATAGCAGCCATGTTTGATAAGGGAACGTCCCTCGGTCACTGTAACTTGGAATTTATAACACGCAGTTCTAACCAAATTCTTTCTTCAATAATGTAGTTGGCTTATAGTGCATTTCTTAGCGAATTGAATGAACTGCATACGAAAACAAACTGCCCTCAATAAAGATGGCGGAAATATTAGTGAGGGACGCAAGGGGGCTGGGCTGGAATAGCCAACCATCTGTCAAGTATGCGTCCTCGTTCTCCAATCAGAGCGCGCCCACCTTGATCGGTCTAGCTGACACTTTCCCCTCACTATATAACTCCGGAGAGGGAGGCAGAAGTCCGGAGCGGCTGGACAGCCGGTGGAGGAGAGAGAACCTGTCACCTCTGACCTTCTGAACGGTATTCTTGGCATCACATGACAGGTGGTGCCCTAGGCACATGGGGGATGGGGAGTGCAGCAGAGAACTGATCACATGCAGAGCAAGGGAAGGTCAGCCTGGGAGGGGGAGAGATAGCCGCTGACACCGCACTCTGATGGCACAATAATATCTGTACAATTCCATATAGATCTACCATCATGAGCCTAGGTGACCTCTGACCTCTCTGGCTGAACTTTAAAATCATACTTTTTTTTGGGGGGGTCAGGTTGCTCCCCACAGCACATGTAAACAAAGGGGCGTGGTTAGAGCATAGCTTGAAGCTTGTGGGCCCCTATGCAAAAGTTGACCTGGGGCCCCCACTACCTCCTGCAGCTTCCCCTCTGTGCCAAGATACTCCGAAAGCTTGCGTTCAGCAGTTGATTTTATCAAACACAAAATGCTTGTAAATGTGGCAAATCGCATTTATAAGTGTTTGCTTTTGAATTTTTTTTTTTAACACTTCCAGTTCCCAATGTTTTTCAGAACCTTTTTTCATCATGACAAATGCGTGCAAAGCGTTTTCAGGGTACTCAGATGGACCAAACACTGAACACAGGATGTTCCTACCAAGCTTGTCACACATGTAATGACCAATTCACACCTCAGACCTCTTCCCCCCCCCCCCCCTTGGAAACAAAAGATATGATAATGACCATTCACACCTCAAAATCCTCATGGAGACCCCCTGCCAGGTGACCTTAATGACTCCCTCCACCAGACACCTTTCCCACCCTTGGAAACATAAGAAATGTTAATGAGCAACTCACACCCAAGCCACTGTCAACACATACTGCTGTCTCTGCTTCTACTCTCTGTATTTCTCTGAAATAGTTAATAATTTACCACTTTTCAGTGCATTCTGGGCATTTGGGAGGTTCTCCTGAGCTTATCTTAAAAAATGCTTCTAAACATAAACATGGCTAAACAGATGTTTTTTTAACCTACGTTTTCCAGCAGTTTCCATCGTTCAGAAGTGTCCCGTGTACATGGGGCTTAAACCTCGGCGGTATGATTATTTCCGATTTTTGGTGCTGAAAGCGGTACCATTATTTTGCATGGAAATATGTATTTTTTTTTATTGTAGGCCTGTAATTTTTAGGAATAACTCACTGAAATCTGTCTGAGCAAGAGTCTAGTAAACATCCTGGGTATGATAAAGTTTGAAACACAAAATCATAAATTATAATTTAATAAATAATCATAAAAAATAATAATAAATGTAATTCAATAATATAATCAAACCAAAAACACTGAAATTTGAAATCTAGCGCCAAGTTAGCGCACATTGCTGAGCAAAGTCGCAGAATCGTTTTCAGTGTCTGATGATGAATTTCCCCCACGAATCATTATCACTCAATTCTGCAAGTGGTTCTGATTTACTATCGCTGTTCTCTAGCTGATCTAAACCCGCTTTTGACCTAAAGGACGCTTTTTGGACGCCATGGATGTTTCTCAGTTTCCAGGCAGAAAGAACAGACAAAAAGCAGGCAGGGCGCCGGACAAAGCACTCGGGACAAAATGTATGTGAAATGGTTTGAAACAGAAATGTTTTACTATGTAAAATTTGTTTGGAAAAAAATGACATTTTTTAAAATTTTCAAATTTCCCGCCGCCGGCGCCCGTACGTCCCGACATCACAGGGACCGGAACACAGAACCTGGATGCCGGCATCAGCCGGAGGAGATGGCCGGGGACGCTGCAGGGGACACATCGCGGGAGCGAAGGACAAGGTAAGCACTGCAGGGACTCCCTATGCAGCGCCGCATGGTAAGCCCGAGTGTAGCTCGGGGTTGCCGCTTTTGGTACTGACATTTTACCCCGAGCTACACTCGGGAATACCGCCAGGGGGGTTAAAGGCTATTTCAGATCTTTATATAATGAGAGGGAAATTCTAAAGGTTTGGAGGACTTGTCCACACTTTGACATACCTTTCCAGTTCTTTTGAATACCCTGGAGCAGGGGGAGGCCAGCTTTGAGAGGTGGAGGTCTACCTGGACAACATGAAACGGATCAAAGATTCCTGGGGGTTGGCGCCTTTATATTTATTTTATTAAGAACTTAATTTGCAAGGCCTAAATAGTAAGGAAAACTTAGAAAAATATCATGTTACTGTAAAAATATAAACTTGGCCTACCCTAAAAAGGGGCAATGTCAGTAGAGCAGTAGAGGTGAGTTTGGAGGATGGTCTAGCTCACCTCTACTCCCCATTCCCATCCCTCCTGATCACCTCTTTCCTTCTATACCCAACATTAAAGGCAACCTTCACTGCAGGATTTAGTTTTCCTTCCATGCACTCCCCCCTGCAATGTATAAAAGTCTTTCTATTTTTGTTTACCCAACAAAAGGTGTGTCAGACCATTGCAGACAGACCACAGCTATCATACAGAGCGGCAAGAGTCCTTCTCTATAGAATGCTGGCAGGGGAGAGACCTTTCTACTCTGGCTGTGGCTGCTTTCTGTACTTGTGCACACCTTCACATCTGCAATATATTCAGCCAATTTCATCTTAAAGTTCAAGTAAGCTTTAAAGCAAGTGCAACATAAAGCACTTAGAGGGGTTGGACAAAATTATGGAAACACCAGGTAAAAGAATGATATTGCTACCTAATATGGCATTGGACAACCTTTGGCATCCAAGATGGCCTGAATTCTCCTGGGAATGGACATGGTCTTGGTTGGTGGATAATGGAATCTGATACCACTCTTCATGTAAAAAGTATTCCAGTTCTTGCAGAGATGCTGGAGGTGGAATGCAAGCCTGAACCTTGTTCTTCAAAATGGACCATAGTCACTATCAGCTCTTTGGGGCCTAAATATTTCATAAGCTTTAAGGGGGAGGGGTTGGGGGACGGGCCTGGGTTGGGGTGGGAGGTGGACCTGGGCAAGGTTTGGTGGGGCATCTGGTGGAGAGTAAGGTTTTTGCCTGGCTAGTAGGTCTACACTTGAAATTTTAAGCCCTGCCATAGTGGATCTATCATATTGAGGTCCTGAGACTGCACGATCCTCAAACCACGATTTGACAACACCAGCTGCGTGAATCGGAGCAATGTTGTCTTGGTAAATGGTGCTGTCTTCAGGAAAACATGTCTGCATCATGGGGTGCACATGGTCAGACAAAACTTGTACATAGTTGCTGGCAGTGACTCTACCTTTTTTAAGGTAGTGATGGGGCCTGCAGAGTACCATGATTGCTCCACCAACATGCTTTGCTGTTGGCACAAGGCAGTCCTGTTGGTAAGCTTGGGATGGTGTTTGCCACACACAAACACGTCTGGTGGATGGGAACAGTATGAAGCTCGATTCATTGGACCATATTACAGTCTTCCATCGATCGATGGTCAACGAATTATGGGTGTTGCACCACTCTCTCCTCTTCTGAGCTTTAATATCGGTCACTAGGTTTGGTAATTGCAGCTCACTCCTGAATGTTTTGCTTATGGAGTTCCCTCCACACAGTTTCTGTGGACACGGGCTTTGGAAGACTGAGATTGAGCTGTGCAGTCACTTTTGCAGAAGTTGTTTTCTTATTTCGGGTCACAATCCTGTGTAATGTGTATTTTTTTTTTTTTTTTTTTTTTTTTTGTCAGTTGACCATGCTTATGCTTATCTGACAACATTTTCCCAGAAATTGTATATGCCGTCACCTATGATACTGAACCTCCCGACACGGCAAACAAATTGGCATCTTCAGTCACAGATCCACCAGCTAAGTGGCACCAACAATTTGCTGTCTTTTAAGCTCTGACATGACTCCATATTTTTAGCAATGCATGCAGTGAATGGTGAAAGTGAGGCTTCAAACCTGTTAGCTAGGTGTCTCATCACTAGGGGCGCACTGACCATTTGGAAACTCGGGCACTGCCCGAGGGCCCGGGGTCAGTAGGGGCCCCATGAGATGCCCCTGGTATCTTTTTCATAGGCTTTTTTGAGTTTGGGCAAGGACACGGGCCCCATGATCCCCTATTGAGGGCCAGGGTCAGTAGGGGGCCCATGAGATGCCCCTGGTACCTTTTTCATAGGTTTTTTGAGTTTGGGCAAGGACACAGGGGCCCCATGATCCCCTATTGCCTGGGGGCCCCATGAGTTGTCAGTCCGCTCCTGCTCATCACACAGGGGAAGCAAAAGCATGTTACATCACTTCCGCTTTCAAACATGTCATCACTTTCCTGCAAATCATGTAGTGTTGCCTTTTTTTTTTTTTTTTTTTTTTTTTTTTTTGGGTCCAACCTCTGTACATAAAAGTACACATCCCTGCTTGGCTACATACATTATATTTCTCTGTCTGTCTGTTATCTATGTAAAGCCAGCCATAGATGGATCAAATCTTGGCTGGTCCCTGATAAACCAATCTATCTAAATTCAATCCATCTATGGGCAATCTGATTGTACCCAAGTTGATCCATCAATCAACTTGGGCACAACCAGCATGTTGTATTTACATGCGATTACCAGTGTCTGTAGTTGCTAGCAATTATCACTGTGTTCTCCCAGCAGGGACAGCTCTTCCCCCTCCTTCCCCTCACGGGAATGGCTCCACGGGAGGGATTTCCCCATCAACCATGACTGTGTTGATGAAGGAATCGAGTGATTTTCTTTCCTACAGCCCATCGTTGCAGGAAATAAAATTGCATCATCTATGTTGTGCCTATGTTAATACAAGAATAGATACAATTGCACTGTCGAGGGTTCTTTTAATAAACCATAGGTCTCATTTTCCAGGGATTGGGGAACTATAGGTGGATGGACCATGAGGGTGAAGGTCATCTCTGTCCTGGACGACAACTACATGTATCTGATCATAGAAGAACGTACAAAAGACGCTATTGCAGTTGACGCCTCTGTTTCCAAAAAGGTAATTCATGTGTCAATGGACTTCTGGTTTCTTAAATGGGTAGTAAGCACCACTTGGTGACTTGTACCTACAGGTAACCTTCTAATAAAGCTTACCTGTGTGTTCAAGGAATATCTCCTAAATGTGCACTGTTTAAGAGATATTCACTATGCCTGCAGCCAGTGATGTCACCGGTGCTCTGAATTGAGGGAACATGGAGCGTGCCTTCAATCCAGGGCATTGTGCCGTGATCGTGGATCCCGCGAGCATGTGCAGGAGTGACATCAAGGCTCGGCCATTCAGACAGCTGGAGCCTGTGAATCTGGAAGGAAGACCAGGTGATGATGGAAGCCATGTTAGCTATGAAGGGCTGCTGGAGGGCTTCGTTTAAAGAGAAATCTTTCATAATGTGCTAGTATTCACATTTCCTGACTTCGCTATGACTTGAAGGGGGTTTTTCATCTCCAATACAAGTTTATAGCAATTCAAAACCTGCTTGAAGGAGGTCAATTGCACCTGTCAATGAATTCAGGATTATCTCAAAGGCGTCTCAAACTGATGTCAACAAACCTAAAGCCCATAGTTGCAAGTGCTAAGACATGTAAATGCTTCTGTAGTTTTCCACTTTACGATATATATAGATATATATATATATCTCTATCCATTCAGTCGTATCCGACCCTTGGCGATTACATGGACCGTCACTCGTTAGCGACCTTTTTCCATGAATTCTCTTAGCAATTTATTTTACAGGGTACTTGCCCGGTCTTTCCCCAACCCCCACCATGCAGGAGAATCCCGCATGGCCAGGGATGATACTATGACAATTTAGACAGGAGCCAATTAACCTACCAGCATGTCTTATGGGTGTGGGAGGAAACTGGAGTTCCTCAGAGGAAACTCACGCAAACACAAGGAGAATATGCAAACTCCATGCAGGAGGCGCCATGGTTGGCAATCGAACCCATAAACCAAATACTGCAAGGCAGAAGTGCTAACCACTAAGCCACTGTGAGATATATATTAAAGTGGAAAACTACAGAAGCTTTTACACGTCTTAGCACTTGCAACTATGGGCTTTAGGTTTGTTGAATGAATATAAATAAATATATATATATATATATATATATATATGTGTATATATTTTTAAACTTTATCCCAGGAATATTGTGGTGAGGTGGGCTAAGAAGAACCAAAAGTTCCCCCATTTAACCTTTGAAAAGCACTGTAGAGCCTTTTTAAAACAGTAGGTGTTTGCATGTCTCCATCAGAGTAAGTGTCACTAATTTTTTCAATTTGGAAAGAGTAATGAGTTTTTGCGCCATTTGTCATATTGCGGAGATTTCCCTTCACTTCCTGTTCCATAGCCAAAACAGGAAGTGAGAGGAAGTCCCTCCAACAGGTCACCAGAACTAGTGTCCCCATTGGAAGATTTCCTCTCTATTCTTCTAATGTACTCCTTTTAGTGACATTTAAAATATAAAAAGAAAAAAAAAAGGGCTTATACCTCATGTGGGATAGAGGATGGAACAATGCAGACGGTTCCATTATACTCCTCTGTCCCAACACTACTACAGATGCAGCCTAATATTTTAAGCACAAGTAGCCCCCCACAAGCCCCAAAGTTGCTGCTTTAGTGGCTTCTAGTGAATAATACCATGTGATGTTATGTTCTAAAATTCACTTCTGTCACTCACTTTTTAAGTTGCCTCTTGTTAGTTTGTAGGGTTTTTAGTTCTGTAAATCTTACAAATGACTGGTTAAAGGGCAGACTCTGACAGTACAACCTTCCTGTTTCAGCTGCTGGATATTGTGCGGAAAGAGGATGCCAATCTGAAGGCCATCTTGACCACACACCACCACCTGTGAGTACAACTCTGTGCTAATCCATCTCTTAGATTGTAAGCTCCCAGGATCAGGGCCCTCCTAGCCCTCTTGTATTGAACTGTATTGTCTCCCTTTATATTGTAAATTGCTGAGAAAACTGTTGGCGCTATATAAATCCTGTATAATAATAATTTAGTACATACCTGTCCTTTCCCCTGTATGTAAATACAGATGGTTTAAAAGTACACCCCATACTGATTTCTACTAGAGATGGATCCTGGTGAGACCTCTCTGCAAAAGCTGCTAGTCTCACAATTCCTTTACATGGAGACTTACTCTTTCTGTTAAAGGCAATTCAACCTTTCCTACTTACTTTCTACTTAAACCAGGGGGCTGATTTACTAAAGGCAAATAGCTGCACATGATTGGATGATGGAAAACAGAGCTTCCCTTCATTTCAGAGCTTCCCCTCCAATCTAGAGCAACTGCACTTGCAGAGTTTTTCACCTGCAAAAGATGTACATTGATCTTGTAGTTTCCTGGTGTCATTGTTTGGCCTGCGTGCATAGCCTATAGTGGAGTAAATCTCCACATTCCTCTGTCAGCAGTTTCTGTTTGTGTTCAAACATGTGGCATGGCACTGCACAGGTTAATGCATGACCTCTGTAGTCTGAGAACTGACACTTCCTATGAAAAAACTACATATTCCACAATCCCTAGGACAAGCAGTCTAATGTTCTGCATGCAGGACTTTTTTTTTTTCAGCGGGAACGTGGGGGAACACAGTTCCGGCACCTCCTGCATTGAATGTATGTAATGTCAAGGAGTGCTGGAGGGTCTATGGATGCTGGCTGCTGAGGGATCTATTGTTGCCGGAGGGGATTTATTCTATTTTTGCAGGGAGGTCTATTATTTCTGTGGAAGTCTATTGTTGCTGGTGGAGGATTTATTGTTGCTGTGGGTGGGTCTTATATTGCTGGGGGGGGCAATTATTACTGAGAGGGATCTACTGTTGAAGACTGGACCTATTGTTACTCGATGCTGGGGGAATATACTGATGCTGGCTGCTGGGAGATGATGTTGCTGGGTGGGTATTTTTGTTGCAGTTGATCCATTGTTGCTGGGAGGTCTATTGTTACTGGGGGGTCTATTGTTGCTGAATGTAAGATCTAATTTACTGCTTTTTCAATATAAATTACTTGACACCACAAAATTATACTTGCTTCTGTATTCTCTAAAAGGGGTCAGTACTGGGAGGTAGGTAGGGGGTGAAACCAAGGGCTGGTGCTCGGAGGTGGGTGGGGGTGGACAATGGGTAACTTAAAAAGGGCAAGTTCTAGCGCCTGTTCTCTAAGGGGGGAGGGGGAGCCCTGTCTGCAGGTAAGAGCTAAACAGTAATTTACAGTTTTTTTTTTTTTTTTTTTTTTTTTTTTTTTTTTTTTTTTTTTTTTGGTGGTATAGGCCCAGGAACCGTTCATGTCTTTTGTAGTTCCACTGTAACCTAACAGTACAGACCATCCATGGATGAACCTTGCACTGGCTGACCTTTTTTTTTTTGTTTATTGGCAGCGATCATTCCCGGGGAAATGCAGATCTCGTACAGCGATTCCCTGACTTACCTGTGTATGGCGCTGATGACCGGATAGGAGGCCTAACTCACAAAGTTATTCACAACCAGGTGCTAAAGGTAAAATGTAGGATTAAAGGTAGGGTGCTGTTTGTGGGATCATAAAGTCCTGCAATAAAATATTCACTATGAACTGACAATTCAAGGTACATATTTCACAGATTTACAGAAAACGTTTTGCCGAGTGCAGGGAACCATGGCATAGCATTAGTCTTCCCTTAGGCTAGCTATACAAGTTGAGACTTCTCCTAAACAGTGTGGATGGAGGAATCTCCACTGCTGAGAGAGAGATATATATATAATATAATATATATATATATATATATATATATATATAGATATCTATATATATCTATATCAGCTGCAGCTGTTTAAATGCTAATAACTGCATCTAGTTAGATGCAGTTAGTGCTCATGCACACTGGACATTTTTACAAACTGCTGTTATTGGCTTTTGACGTCTTTGTTGTGTGTTGTGGGTTTTTTTTTTTTTCCTACAGCCAATAACCCCCCAGCATGTTATCCTATGTGTCCATGTACACAGACTGTAATTGGTGTTTTTTGGCTGGGAAAAAAACCCAGGACTAGTGGGTTTCTAGAGGAGTTTGTTTAGCTGTGAAAATGCTCTATTGCTGCACAATGCTGTAAACACCGCAAACCGGCATTTTTGAACTTCTTTTTGACCGCAAAAAAAAAAAAAAAAACAAAAAACTCTAACCGCCACTAATGCAAAAAAAGCTGAAAAACTCATGTTTTTTTAATGCGACTTTACACAGCTAATGTTCCTAGCGTTATCAAAGTCCTGTGTGCATGAGGACTAGATGTTCAGCCCAGTTTTCCACCTGGGCCTTAACTTTTTTTTTTTTTTTTTCAATCAAAGTTTGTCAAGTCAGATGGTGCCGATAAAGACTCCTACACTCAAATTTCACCCTGTTGAGCTTTAGTCCATTTCTTTAAATTCGTTGTTTATAGGTTGGTACACCTCCACCTATCAGTAATCTTTATCATGTTTATGAATGGGGCATGGAAATCTCCTTTCCCATAGGGATCTGAATAACCTACCACCCACAAACTTTGTCTCTCAGCTTTTATACAGCTTGGCAGATTGATATCCTACAATACGGTGACTCTTTTGAGTTAGGCTACGTTCACACTAAAATAAACTTATATATACAAGATATATATATAAAATCGAGCGCAGTGTATGGATGTAGATAGGGTAGCTGCTGGCACAAAAAGGCACCTTGTGAACCTCCAGAGTGAATGATAAAGCATGAAAGTGCAGCGCTAACTCAGATAATGATTAAACATATGATAGACCACATATGATTGTGGATCAGTAAAATGTCGGCGTAAGTTCATCAGATGTGCTAAATACGCATACAATCTCCAATGTGTGAGGAGCCAAAAGTAGTGAATTTCAGTAATGATAAAAAGATAGCCAAGTAATGCACTAACCAGATAGCGCATGTTAAAGCGCATGGGACATTTAAGACCTGCCCCTGGTACTCGGCCACTGTATCACTGGAACAAGGAGGTGTCATCTATAGGGTGACCACTAGATGTCATCTATCCGGATGGAAGCTGAGTCCAGCCACTGTATTAATGGATCAGGCGGGTGTCATCTATAGGGCGACCACTAGATGTCATCCGTTCCAGGAGGAGCTGTATCATGGATCCAGGGATGTCACTTGCAGATGTGTTCTTGCTAGGCACAGCCCCAGGACCTTCAAGATTACAGGCTCCCCAGAAATAAAGAGCCCGTGGAAAAAGGCCTCAAATAGTGTGATAACGTTTATTAAAGTTGATAAGCAATCAAAAAAGAACTTACTAACAAAGGTTCAGCTGCTCATAGACGGCCAGTTTATCCTTTGTACATGTACCTCCGGTCTGGCCGTCTATGAGCAGCTGAACCTTTGTTAGTAAGTTCTTTTTTTGATTGCTTATCAACTTTAATAAACGTTATCACACTATTTGAGGCTTTTTCCACGGGCTCTTTATTTCTGGGGAGCCTGTAATCTTGAAGGTCCTGGGGCTGTGCCTAGCAAGAACACATCTGCAAGTGACATCCCTGGATCCATGATACAGCTCCTCCTGGAACGGATGACATCTAGTGGTCGCCCTATAGATGACACCCGCCTGATCCATTAATACAGTGGCTGGACTCAGCTTCCATCCGGATAGATGACATCTAGTGGTCACCCTATAGATGACACCTCCTTGTTCCAGTGATACAGTGGCTGAGTACCAGGGGCAGGTCTTAAATGTCCCATGCGCTTTAACATGCGCTATCTGGTTAGTACGTTCACACTAGCGTTGTGTGCAGGCGGCAGAAAGGCGTTTGGGAAGCGTTTTTACTGCTTCCCAAACGCCTCTGCACACTGCAGCACTTGGTGCTGTTCTAATGGGAGCGTTGGCGTAGCGGAAAAAAAAAAAACAGTCGCCACTGGTTGAGTCAGGAGGCGTTGAAGCCTCCTATTCTAGTCTATAGTGCCGCTTCAGAGATGTAGTACTGTGGTTGGGATTTAAACTGACAACCCTGATTCTGCCAGGCAGAAGTGCTAACCACTTAACCACTGTTCTGCCCAATCCTTTATAAAGGCTGTTGTTGTGGTTGTGTGTTGACTGTGGCAAAAAATCATCTTCATAGAAAAATCTTATGTAGAGTAACTACTGCAAAATTTTACTTAATCTGTCTGACTACCCTGTAATGACATTTCCTTACCAGCATCCTTTGTACGATTGCAGATGTTTGTCTTTACAGTTTGGAGACATAAACGTCAGATGCCTCTTCACCCCGTGCCACACGACCGGCCATATCTGCTTCTATATGTGGGAAGATGGCTGTCCTGACGCTCCTGCACTTTTCTCAGGTAAGCTGCATTTATATGAATACATGCCGTGTGTGATAACATTCCTTATCAAAACCTGATATAAAATTGTCCAATTTCTGATTTCTCTAGTCTTTGCCAATAGTCTCAAACAGATCCAGAGACCAATAGTCTGCAACCTCTGAAACCTCCTTCAGAAAGTGCTGCATGCCTGGCCTCTCTGGTCTCCATACTTTAAGTCGCCGACCTGTAGCAAGCATGCAGTCAGAGGGAAGGGAGACCTGGTTTCCCTACTTTTTTTTTGAGGAGCAACTCAAAGCCAAAGTGTGACACCCAAGCCCCCCCCCCCCCCCCCCCCCCAGCACTGCAAGGGTTCCTTCCTCTGGTGCTCTTCTCATCCGTCTGAAGCTCTGGTCTGTGGATGGAGTCTCAACTTACAGGGACATACACCCCGCATGGTACATTGAGGAAGCTGGAGTGCCACCAGTCATAGCTTAGACTGCAGCTACTGGGGACTGGCCACAGCACTGGAGGGAGGAGTATAGCAGGCCATAGGGTGGAAGAAAAGAAAATTGCTTGATTTCCTCATTAACGCAGTCAGTGGGGTGGGGAGAAGACTCCCACTGAGCTATTGTGTTCTGCCGGGTGGAAGCTTTTCCTGTCAGCCTAGCACAATGATTACTGCTAGTGGCTATAGCCGCCAGCAGTAATCGCATGCAACAAATCCAACAGGCTGGTTGTAGTGAAGTCGATCGATAGCTCAACTTCTGTACAACCAGCCTACCCATAGATGTATCGAATCTCATCCTGTCCCTGCTGAATTGACCGAGATTTGATCCATCTATGGCCGGCTTAGGTTAAGTATTTACTCCCTGTACCTCTACCCCAGACTAAATGAGCAAATAAACCTTGCAGTTTGGTGGGTGCAGCACTTCATTAGTGGATTTTTTTGATTTTCTGGAATTGGGTTTTGGGGTATTGAAGTCTTTGGATAAAAAAAAAAAAAAAAATCTTGCATTATTTAAAATGGAGAGTTCAGAAATGGCAGCTTAAAGTGTGTGTGTGTGTGTGTGTGTGTGTGTGTGTGTGTGTGTGTGTGTGTGTGTGTGTGTGTGTGTGTGTGATTTATTTCTTTTCAATCCTATTCCAGCACAAATATGTTGAAAATGAATGTCATTATTCTTTTTTTTCTTTTTGCCCTTTGCTGATCAGTGACTCAAGAGCACTGGATCCATTCTCTGCCCCCCCGTATCAGTGCTGAGCCCTGTAGTAACATAGGGATTGAAGGAAGGAACCATGGCATTTGATGGGGGGCCTACAAGCAGCTAACGCTTTTAGGGGTTTTAAACAAAGATACTGATGGAGGCTGCAGTGCTAGTTGTGTCAGAGCTGTTCTCTGGCTGGGCACCTTCATATTCTATTAAAAAAAATGGGGGGAAATTGAAAAAAAATATAAGTTCAACCTTTTGTAACATTTTACGTTGCCCCCGATCCCTGCTTTGACAGCTAGCTGGGGTTCTTCTCCCCCTTGCTAGCTGTCAAATTAAAAAAAAGTGGTAGTGCGGGACTCTGCCCACACAGCTGCATCAGTCTTCTGTAAATGAGACTACAAGTCCCAACAGCCTTAGCGATGGAGGGGTTGTAGTTTTCAGTGAACTAACATGGTGCCGTGGGAGTTCATCCATTCTTCCTGTCAGACTATCTGCTTGCTCGTACATCCCATATGGCAAGCAGATATTCTGACCGGTCTGCAGGAGACCTGCATGGCATCAGTGATCTACTGATTGCTGGTGGAATGCATTCCAGGCTCCTGCAACCAAAAATAATGACTTTTTTTTTTTTTTTTTTTTCCTGCAAATGTGCATTTTATTTTTATTTTCTAAAGGTGAACTTATCCTTTTTAATAAAACAACTTGTTTTGCCCTAACCTGTGCTTTTCCCATGCAGTACATTTTATTATTATTATATATATATATATATATATATATATATATATATATATATATATATATATATATATTATTTTTAATATTTTATATATTTTTTTTTTTTTTTTTTTTTTTTTTCTTTTTTTTTTTTTTTTCTTTGCACCTGTTGGTTGAACGAAGCAGGGGAACAAAGAAAATACCTGGTACTTCTATTTATACAGCAACACTGCAGCTTGATGATTGGACCAGAGTTATCACATTGGGGTGAGACAGATTCTCTGCCCCAAGTAAGCTTTGAATTGAGCTGCTCTGAGCATACACATGCTCTCCGTGGGTTCACTATGACTAGTATAGATTGGTAGTTTTCTTAGACACAAGTACTTTCTTTTCTTTAGAGCTGACACAAGCAAGAAGCCTTACAATATTTGGGGCTCATTCACTAGTTCTAAAGGTGGAAAACTGCACCACTGCTCACTGCCCCACCAGGTGGGAAGGAAAACCATATTAAATGAAAATGAACTCTGTATTGTCTTTCCTGCTCTTTCCCAGGTGACACGTTGTTTATTGGAGGTTGTGGCCAGTTCTTCGAAGGGACAGCTGACCAAATGTACAAAAATTTGCTGGAAACGCTCAGCTCTCTTCCTCCTGAAACGGTACGCCAATAACTTATCCTGATCCTTTCCCATGAGAATTTTTTTTTTTTTACCTGCACATTTTGGGGCACTTGGAATTTGCATTTTATTTATTTTATTACAGATACCTCTATAGCACCATCAATTTATACACTGATTTACCTGCTATTCTGAAATTGCAGTCAAATAACTGGGGGGGGGGGGGGGGGGGATTGGGACAAGTCACTGGAAGGGTGAACTCAAGCAAGGTAGCCAAAAACCATTGCCCCAGGCAACATATTGTTGATTCACACAAAAGGAGTGGAGGGCAGGGACTTCAGAGAAGATGGGCATTAGAAGCCGGATGACGATTCACCTAACCAGTGTCTACCTGTAGGAGACATCACTAGGTACACTGTAAGGATTAAAAAAAACCTTATGGTAGATCTGTGCCCTTCTGTTCTATAGATATAAGGGAAGGGACAATCTAACGTGCTTGCTGAAATATTTAAAATGAGTGCTGTGAGGGATATTTGATCATGCAGTATGAGCATCCTGGGGGACCTGGTGTGAACAAGAATTTTTGCCAATGATAGAGAATCGTGACTGGCTGCAGAATGAAGATGAATACGGAAAGGGCACAGTCATTTGCTTCAGGGTACAGTGACTTTCCTCTTGATGGCAACCCCTCACCCCCATCCAGCAACTTATACTTCTCCTTCCATATTTCCTGCTACAAGAGACCACTCTGAGTGAGCTCCAGATGCTGGTGAGTTTACCCATTTGGATTGTGTCATTGTCCCTCCCCATGTGATGGGCTGAACCCTTCCACTTGGGGAAGGACCCATGCTTCCCATACCAGGAATGGAATTGGGAGGCCGTAAGGGAGTGTGGATGGATACATAAACCTTGCTGGGTGTGGGCTCTCAGACATTGCCACCCCTCCCAGAATGAGCAAAGTGACAGGATCTCTAATGTTTACTTATTATTATTATTATAATTATAAAGTACCGAATCATTTGCATTTTGTGATAATTGAGTTTCCTATTAATGTATTCTAAACATTGCAGTGTTGTGGTCTTATACTAGTTTAAATTAAGTTAAAAATTGATACTTTTTTTTTCCCGCGACAATTATTACCCCCTTTACCAGACTGTTTTGAAGTGTGTAGTGTTGTTGTGTTTTTTTTTGCTTTTTTTTTTTTTCTACTTGCAGGGATGTCCTCACTTCCTACTTGGCTATGGGACAGGAAATGGGGGAAGGAAAAAAAAGAATCTCTAAAATTGGTACACAGAGGGCCCCCCCCCCCCCAAAAGAAAAGAAATAAATCTGACGGGTTATAACCTTGACCTGGCTCTTGGGGGGGGGGGTGGGGCGTGTGCGCGCCGTGCTCATTCACAAGACTCTGTTTACCATTCTGAATGTCGCAGCCTATCTGGCACCAACAACCATGCCATATTCAAAGTCACTTAAATCCCCTTTCTTCCCCATTTTGATACTCATTTTGAACTTCAGCAAGTAGTCTTTACCACGCCTACATGCCTAAATGCATTGAGTTGCTGCCATGTGATAGGCGGATTAGCAATTTGTGTAAGTGGCCGGTGAGTGTATAATATATATTCACATGCATACAGCATGGAGGGGGGTCATGAAAGGGTTAAAAGATCCCTGTGTCACTGACACAGAATGAGTGAATCTGCTGATCTATTCATTCTGTCCCCCCTTGACAAGTACTGGATCTCTCTCCATTCCCTAGTGTAAAGGGAAGAGGAGAGTAAAAATTGTAAACCACTCCATGTGATCATATGAATCGACTTAGTACAGTGTCTCCATGTAAGGAGCCACCTAATGACCGCTTGGTATAATTACTGGGTGGATCGGCCACCTGATGGCTTTTTATCCAGGGCTGCTTATGACCGGCACTGACTAATATTGGGCTACGAACCAGCCGTTTTAAAGTCCTACCTCAATAGAAAGGGTGTCAAAGTAAAATAATTGAAATCTCTGAGAGTTAATAATATGTCACATTTTAGCTGCTTTTCTTCTGCAGAAAGTGTTCTGTGGCCATGAATACACTGTGAGGAACCTAAAGTTTGCACTAAAAGTGGAACCAGACAATGAACACGTGAAGGAGAAGCTGGCCTGGGCAAAGGTGAGCGCTACACTCCATATTGTCAAATATAAACCCTCTGACTTTACACACGGCGTCCTGTTATCACCAGGTACCTCCAATAAGATGGACGCTCAACTCCCACATTTCCATATGGCTCAGCCAGCACAACATACAAGAGCAGTTTGTTGGTGCTGGATAGGTGTCCTGGGCAATTATGTGACACCAAGTCTGTGAACCTATTACAGAAAAGTAGAAGCAATCAAGGTTTGGTGAGGTGGGCCAAAAGTAACCAAAAGGCCCCCCCCCCATCCTCCCAGTGTACCACCACAAAGCATTATAGAGCCTTCTTATAACTGAATGTATCCATGCTTCATTTTCATCACTAAACTCTGTACAGTGTTGGAAAATGACTCTCTAATATTGGGCTGTATCTGTGCTATTAACCAGGAATTCTGGATGTGCACAGGGCCATAAAGGAATATGTTGTGTGGTGTAAAGCTCCGGTTCTTACAAGGAACTTGCAGATGGGAAGAGAAAGCAGAGTGACAGATGTGAACTCAATGTATTCACTGTCTAATCATAGGTTGGGGAAGGGGGTGGGGGGGTGCAAGACATTTTAGATGTTACTTGTGTTACTGCAGCAGAGACAAATCTGGTTAAATCAGGCAGCACTGTCTTGTGTGGCAGAGCTATGTAAATCTCGGGACTGGATGAACAGAAATACAAATCCCTTGGCAGCTAATAGAGCTTCCTTTTAATGTATTGTACAGGATGCCATAAGTGCAGCAGTAAATAAAACTGAAGATCTACTTATCTTATTGTGCAAACCTAACGCAGTACACAAGAACTAACATGCTTATCAACCAGATGGTGAACATGAATACAGGAACATACAAAGATGTATAATAAAGATTTACTGATTGAGACATATATGCACAAACTGCAACGTCTTGAGTTCACAACCAAAACCTTCTTTCTCTTTTTTTTTTTTTTTTTTTTTTCCCTTCTTTCTTTTCATGTTTAACCCCTTCACGCCTAAGGGTAAAACAAATCTTAATGCCTAAGCACAATTTTGCAATGTTGACATGTTAGTAAAACCGTCCATATCATCACAACTACTTTGTACATCCAGGTGAATTATACCACGTTTTTTTTTTTTTTTTTTTCAGGATAAATTGGGCTTTCATTTGGTGGTAAATGGTAATGGATATCTCTGGGGGGGTGTGTTTTTTTTTTTTTTTTTTTTTTTTAGTTGTGTATTATTTTTTTAAATTTAGCTGTGTTTTTTCTTCGTTACTAGCATAACCTACCACCAAAGAACAACCCAAAATAAATTATCCAGCTCCTGACAATTGCAGCGATGCTATATATGTGTATGTTATTTGTTGTTTTGTACCTGTAGTACAGCCCAGAAACAATAGTGCACTTTTTTTTTTTTTTTTTTTTTTTTTAAATCCTGACATTTGACCCTGGCACTGAACTAGATCAAACCTTGATCTAGGTATTTTTTTCTTTATTTTTTTTAATATTTTATTTATTCTACATTTTTTTTTTTTTTTTTTTTTTTTTTTGGGCCCTCTCTATGCCAGGAGTTGGGGAGATACAATGAGGAAAAAAAAACAAGGGTTGGGCTGTACAGTGACTGATCACTGTGATGACCAATCAGAGGCTATCACAGTGATCATGTGACCCGGAATCGGGAGTCCCTGGACCCAGTCATTAGAACGGGACCTGGTGCTGTCAGTGACACCGCGGTCTTTGTGCTGGGAGTGCACTGTGCGGCGTGCTCCCAGCAGAAAGACAGGTATGCAAATATGCAGCCCCACGGAAAAAAGCCCAGTTCTGCGAGGCCGCATATTCATGTGACGTTGGCGTCAAGGGGTTAAAGTAGGGAAAGGCTCGAAGCAGTGTTGGGTTTTTAGCTTCCTCTTTAGGCAGATTTTAATTTAGATCTTGTGGTGTCTCTGGGACAGGGAGGGGGGGGGGGGGGGCAGACCACAATAGAAATCTGACAGGTCTTATAAGCCTCCCCCCCCCCCCCCCCCCCATTATATTTGTATACATATTTCCGCATTAAATCATAAGTACAAGTTGTATGATTTCTCTTTCTAGGCTAGAGATGAAGATGACATTCCTACTGTCCCATCCAGCCTGGAGGAAGAGTTCCTGTATAATCCTTTTATGAGAGTGAGGTGAGCCGCAATGTAAAAGTGCAATGTATATTAGTTGGGTGTTCATCTATATCTATTTATACATTCCATACTCCTTCCTCCACCCCCCCCCCCCCTCCTGCCGATCCCTGTCCGCTTCCGCTTCCATGTATCAGAGCATTCCCTGTAGACTGGGAAATCTGTTATCCTACACCTAGCAAATGAAGTACCTGGACAGTATTGGCCTCCAGAATACAGCCTAGAGACAGTCAGTCAGGCTAAGTTTGTGCGTTCAATGAAACCACTGAGGGCACACTGTTAAGTTCAATGCTAGCAAAACGTAATAAATCCAGGATACACAGCACTATTATTTATTTCAGGTACTTATATAGTGCCATCAATTTATGCAGCGCTTTCCATATATATTGTACATTCACATCAGTCCTAACCCTCAAGGGGCGTACAATCTAAGGTCCCTAACTTATTATTATTATACAAGATTTATATAGCACCAACAGTTTGCTCAGCGCTTTACAATATAACGAGACAATACAGTTGAATACAAGAGGGTTAGGAGGGCCTGATCCTTGGAGCTTACAATCTAGGAGACATACTAGGTCCAATTTATACAGTAGACAACCTACCAGCATGTCTTTGGAGTGTGGGAGGAAACTGGAGTACACGGAGGAAACCCGCACAGGGAGAACATGCAAACTCCAGGCAGGTGGTGCCTTGGTTGGGATTCAAACCAAAAACCTGAGTACTGCCAGGCGGAAGTGCTAACCATTTAGTCACTGTGCTGCTGAATGTATCCTAAAACATCTTCTATAGTAGGGGTGTCAAGCTCCATTTCATCACAGGATGCATCCGCATTATGGTTGCCCTCAAAGGGCCAGTTGTATCTAGAGGGCTAGGTGGCCAGAGCACCCCCTCCTTACATCGGATGTCAAGAGCCAACTACATAAGTGTACCCCCCCCCCCCCTCTTACTTTTTGCAGCTGATGGGAAGAAAACTGGGGGCAGAGTTGGGAAGCAGAAAGTGCAGGGGCTGGAGGAGGACCAGAGGAGTGCTGAGTCCGCTTCCAGAGTCTGCTGAATGTTGAGAGATGAGGGGGAGCTGCAGCTGCACAGAGTGGTGCAGGATCTATAGGAGGTGTTCTGTCCTCTTCTCTGCTGCTGACTACTTGGGGTGGGGGTTTGGGTGTCAGAGATGAGTCTCTCTACAGCTGCACGGAGAAGCGCAGGATCCAGCAGAGGAGTTCTGTCCTCTCTGCTGCTGACACAAGGTGGAGACAGAGATCGGGGGAGCTGCAGGAGAGTTGCGGGGGTCAAATGTGGGCCTTGTATTTGACTTGTGCTCTAGAGGAGGAGGTTCCATGTGGGCCTTTGTGTGTTCTGTCCTGGATTAATAACATTTTACTAGTACTGGACATTTCAATGTGCCATTGGCTGTGTTTTCTTTGGATACATTGGCAGTTTTGGGTAAGCGCAATTCCCTGTCTTGTGCTTGCACCCAGTTAGCCTTCAGCTTGTTCTGAGACTGCATTCTCCATTATTGCCAACAAAAAAAGGGACACACACCTTTGCTCCCAAGTTCCATCTGTTTTGTCTGGACCAACAGGTGCACACTTTTTATAGGCTATCATATTTGTTGCAGGTACCTCCCTATCCGGCTATCCCCCATGGCAGGTGCTAGGCAGGCCCAGAACCTTCCCCCCCCCCCCCCCCTTCCCCTTCAATTTATTTAATATTATTTATTTATTTTGCATGTAGCCTGAGGTTTCACCTCCACCGGGAGGATAAATGATGCAGAGAGGCTCACTGTCGTTGCTGTTTGCATGACAGGCTAGATATTCTGTGTTCCTATTGAGGTGGTTCACACAGATGTGAACCACCCGCTTTGCGTTTTGAGTGCAATTCCAGAAAGGGTCTTGTGCGAGTTTGGAGCTGTGCGTTCCAGACTTCCACGTAGTAGAGTATGGTGGCATGTGGAGACAGGTGTTCACATAAAACTGCAAATGACAGGCATTTTGGCTCCATGGAAGACGTTTTTGTCAATGGAAGGCAGTTTGAGTGCGATTTCTTTAGAGATGCAATTTTGGCCTCCCACTGACTTCAATGCCAAACAGCAATGCTAATCACACAGAAATGCATGCTTAAATCCCAATGTGATTTCAGTACGCATGTGTGTACCAGGGCTAAATGAATTGTTATGGAGATTATTTATAATTGTATATATATATATATATATATATATATATATATATATATATATATACCCACACATTGATCAGATATGTAAGTACCATGACATAATTTATCTGCCACTCTGTAATAAAATTATATATTACAGACCTATAAAACCCAATGCTCTTCTTCCTTTTTTTTTTTTTTTTTTTTTTGATTAAAGGGAGGAGGCTGTACAGAAATTCACAGGGAAGACGGATCCAGTGGAAGTAATGAGGGTATTGCGGAAAGAGAAGGACGAATTCAAAAAGCCAAAAGATCGACTGCCAATCCCAGCACTGCTTGCCTATCAGTGGGGTCTTCTCAGCCAATCACTGCCTGCGCAGAAATAGAGGAGGTGCAACTCTGCACTTTGCCAAAGCTGAACATCTACGTAGCCATACAGTCCGTGCTGTAGAGACTTGGAGCCAAAATGCTACATACATATCTTTTAGCTTAAAAAGTAATTCCAAACCACAAGATTGTAATTGTGAATGCTGTCCTAGGAACATTGCTTGGCTAAGGTCTGAAGTCCAGTCCATCTTCCTTCAGTCCTGGGGTAACCATAGACATGAAATGTCGGTTGGATGGGGTGGTGATCTCATATTGGGGTTGCCTTTGAAATTTGTGTGGCAAGATGATGGTGACTACACAGCTTGGAAATCCTTGATGCCTACTCCTTGATTTCTTTTCCCTTTGCTCTCTATTGACAAGTACTTGTAAGGGCAGCTCATACAAGTTAAGAGTGCCCTGACAAAGACTTGTCCTTAGAAGGTTGGGTCCTACCTACACAACTGCCCCCCCCCCCCCCCCCCCCCAACCCTTTAGTCCATGGGCAACTTTAGTTTTAGATGACCAGTTCATTTAGGTGCCCCCCTCCGCAGTAACACCTACTCACCATTTTGCTCTGTTTAGTCTTCAAGCTCTATGAATGCTCCAAGGCACTTCAGTTGGAGCTTACACACAGCCAATGGTGGACAAGGTCATCTAGAGCCCAGCACAAATCCTCTACCCGTCTGAGCATAAATCCTCAATCCCCCTCCATATCCCTCTGTCCTAGCACAAATCTCCCTCAATTCCCCTCCCTGAAATTCTTGTCCTAGCACAAATCCTGCCCCCCAAACCACCACTTCTATCACAAATGCCCAGGACAGCTGCCCTTCGTGCCCACCCCTTGTCCTTGCCGTGCACTCAGCTGAGGACTCCCCCCTGCCCCATGTAACAGCACTGGACCAGTCACCAAGAACCAGCGCTGTCACTTACTCCTTCATCCCTCTTCTGTGCTATGTAGCCTGTTTCTTATGCGCCTACACTCTTGGGCCTGGTCGTTGTAGACCCAGATTCAGGGTAGAATTGAACCAGAAAAAAAATGACAATCTTTTATTGTGAGGTCAGAGAAGGTGGAACTAGAACCAGAACACAGCGGCCTGCTTTTTTTGGCAGGATCTCCTTCAAGACCATCAAGGATCCTGATGAAGGGTATAACTAGTTGGCATCCACATGCTGTAGGTAAATGACAGGATCAGGAACAGAGCCACTCAGCAAAAGTGTTGTATCCAACTCCTACAAAGAGGTTTCCATTTAAACGATTGGGGCATAGCTTAACTTTTTAGGTGAAAACTAAAGAACCCAGCTGAACAGCTAAATCAATAAATGTAACCACACAAAACTCAAAGGAACGGTGGAATTTTGCTGTTTTTTTATGTTGATAAGCAGGTGATCAGATTTTTTTTTTTTTTTTGCCTGGGGGGGGGGGGGGGGGGGGTTGTTTGCTGACAATCGGCCCAATTTAGATCCATGTTTGTATACAGAGAGCAGACAAATCGATTCATGTATGGGTGGGTTGGTTGTACAACTAGCCTGTTGGAAGATTTTGCACAATCGGCACCACAAGCTATAGCTGGCAGTGCTGATCAGTGTATTCTGACTGATTGGAATGTCTTCCTGCTGTCAGAATAAAATGGGTCAGTGGCAGGATTCTTCCATCCACATTAAGTTTGTGGATGGGGGAATCGAGTCTTTTTTTTTTTTTTTTTCCTTTTCTTTGTTCACCCCAATGGTTGAATGAGAGAACTCCATGTATGGGCTGCTTAAGGAACTGTTCCCTGAACAGAGACTTGATGTTGGACCGGTTCACACTTGTGCGGGTCCTGTGTGCGGTGTTTTGTGTAGGCACAGCAGTCCATTCATTTGAATGGGCTGCTGTACCTGTGGGAAGGTTGGGAGGGAAGTCCCTGACCCTTTTCTCACACACCTGAAAGCATGCTGCATTTTTCAATGAGTGGGGGCATGTCTGGTAAAGATCAACATGTTTTGCCTGCAGGATGGAGAACGCATTTGATTCATATTTGTGGACCTAGCCTGAGAATAATTGCATGTATTTTTATGTTTAGTTAGTACCTGACTCTGGCTTATCAGCCCTCTGTAGCACTGTGTTTTAGCACTCAGACTGAAGGGGGGGGGGGGGGGGGGGGGGGGCCTGGGGGGGGGGGGGGGCCTGGGGGTGTTGGTGTTCTTGTACTATTCATCCAACACTGGGGCAGGGAGGGTTGGATGAGTAGTACAGCAGCACTGAGGCAGGGAGGTTAGGATGAGTAGTACAGCAGCACTGAGGCAGGAGGTTAGGATGAGTAGTACAGCAGCACTGAGGCAGGGAGGGTGGATGAGTAGTACAGCAGCACTGAGGCAGGGAGGGTAGGATGAGTAGTACAGCAGCACTGAGGCAGGGAGGGTAGGATGAGTAGTAAAGCAGCACTGAGGCAGGGAGGGTAGGATGAGTAGTAAAGCAGCACTGAGGCAGGGAGGGTAGGATGAGTAGTAAAGCAGCACTGAGGCAGGGAGGGTAGGATGAGTAGTACAGCAGCACTGAGGCAGGGAGGGTAGGATGAGTAGTACAGCAGCACTGAGGCAGGGAGGGTAGGATGAGTAGTACAGCAGCACTGAGGCAGGGAGGGTAGGATGAGTAGTAAAGCAGCACTGAGGCAGGGAGGGTAGGATGAGTAGTAAAGCAGCACTGAGGCAGGGAGGTTAGGATGAGTAGTAAAGCAGCACTGAGGCAGGGAGGGTAGGATGAGTAGTAAAGCAGCACTGAGGCAGGGAGGGTAGGATGAGTAGTACAGCAGCACTGAGGCAGGGAGGGTAGGATGAGTAGTACAGCAGCACTGAGGCAGGGAGGGTTAGGATGAGTAGTACAGCAGCACTGAGGCAGGGAGGGGTAGGATGAGTAGTACAGCAGCACTGAGGCAGGGAGGGTAGGATGAGTAGTAAAGCAGCACTGAGGCAGGGAGGGTAGGATGAGTAGTACAGCAGCACTGAGGCAGGGACGAGCTGCACTAGCAGTACAGCAGCAGTAAGATGGGATCATAGAGGGGCAATATATAGCAGTACAGCATCACTCAGACTGGGGTATGGAGGAGGGCAGTTTTCAAAAAACTGGAATGAGGCACTACTGCAGCAGTCAGACTGGGGCATAGAGGGGGCAGCAATAGTAGTGTAATGGCAGGCAGACTGAGGCATGGAGGGGCAGCAATAGTAGTGTAATGGCAGTCAGACTGGAGCATGGAGGGGCAGCAATAGTGGTGTAATGGCAGTCTGACTGCCATTATACTATTGCTGCCCATCCATGCCTCAGTCTGACTGGGGCATGGAGGGGCAGCAATAGTAGTGTAATGGCAGTCAGACTGGGGCATAGAGGGGGCAGCAATAGTAGTATAATGGCAGTCAGACTGGGGCATGGAGGGGCAGCAATAGTAGTGTAATGGCAGTCTGACTGAGGCATGGAGGGACAACACTAGTAACCAGTCAAACCAGAAAGAGAAGCGAGAATGTGGTACTATTCCATTCTTGTCCAACCAGCAAGCTGGGGCTGTTTTCTTGACTTTGTGTGGCGGTTGGGCTTTCTATCAAAGGTTCCCAGATCACATGATTGGCTTAAATGACATATCCATTTGAAATGTACTGTATTTAAATTTGTAATAAGCTGCTTGTCTAGAGTTCATCAGCGGGATAATGTACGAAATATAATGGATTTTTTTAGTTCTCTTCTATATTCTTGTAAACAATGGGGGGATTTACCAAAACGAGAGCACTCAGAATCTGGTGCAGCTGTGCATGGGAGCCAATCCACTTCTAACTTCAGCTTGTTCAATTTAAGCGTTAGTAAAAAAAAAAAGAAGCTGATTTCTATGCAGAGCTGCACCAGATTTTGCGCTTTCCAGTTTTAGTAAATAACTGCCAATGTGTCTCTGTATTAAGTGGTCACAGGCCACCTACAATCCGCCTAGGAGTGAGAATGCCTGATCTATGAGTTGTTGGGTGGAAGTGGGAGATCCATGGTGTGGTATGGAAGGGATAGTGCCTTAGAAGTGTAGAACTGCTCACTAGAAAAATCCAGCAGGTGTGGGGCAGTAGCACGGAATAGTATGGCTCTCTTGCAATCCCCCCAAACCTCTGCTGTGGTGTTGTGGATCACAAGGGACAGTGTATCACTGAAAGTTCTTTAGATACATTTAGCTGTTGTCTGGAAATGGCATTTTGGTTTTCCTGGCAGTTCCTCCACTGTGTATTTGTGCCACCAAATTCCTGAAGCCAAGCAAGCAGGAAATGTACTTGGAACCAGTCCTATGTATGTTTCAATCAGATCTGATAAATATATGGGTCATCTCATTTCTCAATTTAAAAAAAAAAAAAAAAAAAAATGGGAAGGATGCTTTTAATTGTAGCCTGTACCTGAAGGGACGTCACTTGAATTCAAAAGAACTGACCTTGGATATGGAGGAGGGTGATCACACGAAGCATAATCCGGTTCCGCATCCCTTGTTGGCATTGAGGGATCTGCTCCATTACTGACCTAAACTAAAAAATTTGAGTCTGTGATTTTGTTTGTCTTTTAGGCTTTTTGGTGACCTGACTTTTGGGATTTATCATGAAGAAACCTAGAGAGCACTTTTAGATAAATCACTTTTTATATAAGTGTTTTTTTTTTTTTTATGAGACAAAATGGTGGTGGTTGGGGGAGTTGAGAGCTCTGTCCACTTAGGTAGAATTCATTGCATTTCCTGTTTTGGTGACCACAGAGGAGGGGGGGGGTGTCTCCCCACTGGGTACACAGATGGCAATAAAAACCTGACACGTTCTCAACCTTCCAAACCTTTTAAACAAAAGGCCGGATTTTAGGGGGGCTGGGCTGTGGTCAGTGGGAGTAGAAAATACCATGGAGTTGGCAATGTATGTTGATTGCCAGTTGGAGTAAGAAAATTCATGGCACCTATGGTCAGTGGGAGAAGGAATAGAGCCCCATCGGTATTGGTGGGAGGAATATTGCCAAGTGTTGGTGTCACTGGAAGGAATGGTG